TTGACAGCTACCATCCATAATAATGAGAACAATAAAAATCGCTAAGATGTACTAAATCCATATCATAAGCCAGAAGCTATGCTTTTTTTTCCTCCACCAGAACTTTAGGATCCCCATTTTACAACTGTAGAAACTTAGTCTCAGAAAGGAGTAGGTACTAGCCTAAGGTCACACAGCAAGCAGTCAGAATTGGAACACAGACTTGCCTCAGTCCAGACTTTGCTCTAAGCACTCAGCTGAAGTTGTTACTGGGAAATGATCACTTTCTACCTCCCACCCAAGTCCTTCTCCTCTTCCTCCTCTGTCTCACCTCCAAGGCTGCCTTCCCAAGGCCGACTCCTGGGATTCACACTTCTAACTGGGAAGGCTCAGGCCTGGGGGAGGCTTCGGGCAGGACTGAGCTCAGGCAACCCTCCCCACCTCTGGGAGACTCACTACCTCTCAGGTAGCCCCTTGATCTCTCTTGGCCCTCTCCTGCAGTAGGAGGTGTTAAATGACCCCACTGTGTCGTCATGCACTGTGCTGAGACTTGTAGGTAGGTTTTCTCCTGGAATTCTCTCAACGGCTCTAGGACTAAGTATATTTGACCCTATTTTAACAGGTGGAAAAAGTTGAGGCTCCATCGCTGCCAAACAGGTGGGCCGGTGAGGAACTAGAGAACATGACCAAAGTGTTTAACGGCACCACTGAGATGTCAGAATCCCTGCAGGGAGAGAGGAGGGGCTGGGGACCAGCATGCGTGGGTCCTTACAACTGACCTTGCAGCCCCATCTTCTCAGGGTCCTCCAGCGCGAGACTGAAGATCAGCATGTGTCGGGCCACAGCTTCCAGGTTATTCTCCAGCACATAGAACTGGAAGGATGGACGGGAGAGCATGGTTCTGAGATCTGTGTCCCTGGCTCCTAGGAGACCAGGGGATGGGGGACCTCAGCCCCCTCCTTCCACAGGACCCAGGAGTCCTGTACGCCAGCCTCCCCCCTCCAAACACAGGAGTCTGGGCGTTCAGAACTTTCCTCCCCACCTCCACCCAGGAGACTGGTCCTTAGCTCTTCCTTCCACTTGAGTCCAGGAATCCCCAGCCCCAGCTCCCAAGAGGCTGGGTCCCCAGCTTCCACATCCCTCAGACCTAGAAATCCAGGTCCCCAGCCTCCCCCCTTCAAGGACTCAAGAATCTGGGCTTCCATCTTCATCTTCCTCCTTCTGAGACCCCAGAATCCCAGCTCACGTGGAACCTCCTGCGCGGCCAGAGCGCTGCCCGAGCCAGGGTCCGCAGCAGGTGCCGCCCATCCACGGAGCCCAGCAGCAGCACGTGCAACTCGGGGGTCCCGTGCTCTGTGTGGCCCGGTGAGTCTGGATCCACAGGAGGACCTGGCAGGATGACAGCGGATGTGGTAGGTGGCCAGGAGAGCGCCCCCTGCAACCGCCCCCAGCACGGTGGACTACAGCTCCCAGCAGGACTCGATCCCTCGTCGAGCAGAGCCGCTAACGTTCCGTGACTCGTGGTCAGCAGGGGAGCCATCTGGGACCCGTGGGTGGGGTGGGGGGCGCCCCGCCGTTGGGGCCTCAGAGAACCGCAGCCACCGAGTCAGACGTGGTCCCGGCAGGGGGACTCACTCTCAGCCTGCAGGTCCAGCGCTGGGGACAGGCCCCACCAGGACACGGAGCCAAAGCCCGCGCCCGAGCCTGCGGGTGTGGTCATCGCCCTGCGGGACAGACATCCTGCGAATCCCAATCTCCGCGTCGCCCCTCCATTCCCTCTGACCGACCGACTAGCCCCTTCCGAGACACTCCCTCACCTTAATCCTGGCAAAAACCCCGGGCCGCCCCCTCCCTCCCGACTGGGTCTGCGCGGAGCTCGCTTGCCGAGTCCGACTGCTCCCTGTGGCCCCGCCCTCTTCGACCAATCAGCCAATGGAAGTATGCGGGCTGGTATCGCCGAGATCAATTGGCCAACGAGAGCGAGCAGGACTTCCCCTAGACGAACTTTTTGCCAATGGGAGAGCTGAGGGGAGACTACCTAGCACGAAAGGAGAGCGTGCGGACGCGGTTGTCATGACGACGGCGCTAGCGGAGAAGGGGCGGGGCCGGAAAAGGCTGGGGCGGAGCCTGGGCGGTTCACATTTCCGAGATGGGGACGGTACCAGTTTATTCCAACGGAATAGAATCGCGATTCATCCAAATTAAAGTGAGGTGGCCTAGACCTTAAACTACAGACCTCTGTGACCCCTTTCCCCCTTACACGCTGGCTCTGCCACTCAGGGCTTCTCATCCGGTGGTAGCAGCGAAATGCCGGGGCCAGCTAGCACGGGCTCCTGGTGGTTTAATTTTCAGGAATTTTGTAACCTGGTTATATACATAGTCATTATTAGAGATAAAAATTTTATTAAAGTAACTACTGAAGATTAAATTCCAATGAAATACATTACATTAAAATAAAGGCAACACATACTCAAAACTCATCATTTTCTATTTTACTATTATTGATGGTCTTAGGGTTATTTATATCCCGTGGACCTGAGTGAAAAAATACTATTTTAAGGCAATAGTTTAAAAAATCAAATTGTTAAACTATGACCACGGATTGTCTACTTTTGTAAATAAAGCTTTATTAGAACCAGGGCCAGCATTAGGATGAGGCAGTGGCCCAAGTGCAAGGTCAGATTTTGTCTTTAAAATATTTGTATTTCACCCATTGTGGATTTCTTTTTTTTAATTAATTTTGATTCTTTAAAATATTGCATTAAAATACTGTTTTATGTGAGTGGGGCTTTTGGGTTGGTTTTGGCTTTGGCTTTGCCTTGAACTTGGGGTCTCTCATCCTGACCCTGGGAAATATGATGGTGTGCTAGCAAGCACCTCTTCTCAGATCCACATTCAGGAAATTCACACTGATGGCTTGAGATCAGCCACAGTGGGAGTATTGGCACGATGGAAATGGGCAGACTACACAGCAGTGCTTCAGAAAGTTGGTAATAGCACACCCTGGGGAGCACACCGATCCCCTTTACGTCCAGGTCTGAATTCTTTGTGTTGTTCAGCTCATCCTTCCAACCCTAACCGGGGGTCTTCCTCTGAGTTCTGCTCCTGCCTCCCCAGCTGAATGCCCACAGCAGCCCACTGTGGCTCCCACTACTTTATATTTGGAGGACCAGGTGGGAGGATGCTCGAGGATGTGGCTTTAGGTGTGACACATTCCTAGGCTTACATCTTGCACTGTTGTTTGCTGGCTGACGGGCCTCAGCCAGGTGACGGCCTGTCTTAGAGTTCTACAAGGTCAGGGACTTGAGTGAGACACATTTCCAGATCAGCCCCAGCACCCAGCACAGGCACAGACCCAAGGAACCTCGGCTTTCTGCCTCTTCTCCTCACCCAGCTACATGACCTTAGACAAGTCAGTCATCTTTTCTGTGCCTCACTCTCCTGCTCTGTAAAATGAGAATGGTGATGTGCAGCTGGCAGGGGGCTGCTGGATTGAAACGAGGTCCATCTGCCTCCTAAGGATAGTTCTGGGCACTGGGAAGACAGTGCCTGCTGAGGAACTGCAGCAGAGATCTCAGCAGTCCCTGCAGAACACACTGGCCTCCCTGCGCTTTTGAGAATGCACCACCACACCTCAGGGCCTTTGCAACTTAGGGTTCCTTCTGCCCGGAATTCTCTTCCCCTCATCTTTGGTATTTTTTATTGGGGCAAAATACACACAGCATAAAGTTTAGTGACATTGTTCTGTAACCATCACCACTATCTAGTTCCAGAACTTTCTCATCAGTCTATAAGGAAACCCTGTTCCCATCAATCACTCATTTAGCTTATCTCCCTTTCCCTTGCCCCTCGAAACTGCAAATCCACTCTTTTCCTCTATGGATTCGCCTGTTCTGGATACTTCATATACACGAGAATCATCCAATATATGGCCATTTATGTCTGGCTTCTTTCACTTGCAATCACGTTTCTCAAGGTTCATCTGTGCTGTACTATGAATCAGTATAAACATTCCTTTTCATGACTGAATTTTTTGCAACCCTTGCTCCTTCTTGTCATTCAAATGACAGTCCAAATATCACCTCTTCAGGAAAGCTATCCCTGCCCACTCTTTCCAAATTTTCTCAGCCCTCACTGGCTTCCTTCCCAGTGTGGATCGTGATTTGTAAAGGTCTTATACGTCCCATGTGTCTGCTTTCTGGTTGAAACTCAGGACCAATGTCATCATCTAACTCAGAATAGATTCCATCCTAGGATTTAGAGACAGAGTTCCTGGCTATATGATTCGAATCATGTCATGTCAATTCTCTGAAGCACAATTCCTTCATTTGTCAACTGGAAATAATAATCATGTCAATTACATGGGGTAGTTGTGAGGATTATTATGGGCTATAGTAGCAGTAATAGTAATAACATATAGGCTGTCTTCATAAAGATACCCCTTCACTCAATCACACATGGGAAATTACTGCATCCCTTAGGAAAAATATTTTAAATCTCATGGACATCACAACCATGTGACTGATCTGATTTCCCTTTTCCCATTGGCTACCAGGGGCAAATTTTACTCTGCCCCTTTCCTGAATATGTGAGGGTACTTTTTGCCTCATTTTCCACATTACCTGGTGCCCAAGAGCTCTTTTGCCAATTTTCATGGACCATAGCCTACCACCTGAAATCCTGTGCTGGATGAGATGAGGGAGAAGCCAATGAAACAATCGTCTTTCCTAGATACATACTCAGAAGCAGAATTTGTTGAAAGAAGAGTGAGGTGGAGTTGGAACCATTGGCTTTCCCTGAATAACTCTGTCCTTTCTCCCAGTCTCTGGAAATTTCATTACCAGACACTGCCTATCTATTTTGCTTCCTTGATGAGAAGTAAGTTACTTGGAGGTAGCCTGGGTTTGCACCAATCTGGGGCTTCTGGCATTCCACAGAAGCTGGTACACAGAAGACCTCGGGGAATATAGAATGGATGGATGATGGAAGGAACTGAGGGAGGAGGAAGTAAAACTCGGGTGTGAAAATCTATACAAATCAGGGTGAAGGAACAGATAAATCCACGGTAAGTGATTTTCATGGACTGCTCACAGCAAACATGCAGTAGGCATTATTCTCACTCTTTCTTATCTCCAGATAGATGAGAAACCGAGAAAGATGAGAAAGATGAGAAAGATGAGAAAACTGAGGCTCAGGGGTGAGTGAACGAATCAATGAATACATGAGTGGATGGGTGGGCAAGTTTCCCTCAGTGCGTCTCCCTCCCTGTCCCTGCCCTGTGAACCCACCCTCTTGGGTCCCCACCCCCACCACAGAGCACTGGGCCAGGCCACCAAACTTGCTGAGTATTTATTTGGTCCCAGGATCAGTGAAGGGATCAAGACTGGGGGCAGGAGTGGGTGATCCTGTGCAGGAACACTGGCGTTGGGAGTGCAGGGATCAGGAGGCTGGGGTCACTGATTGTCAGAGCAGAGGAAGGGACCCCAGGGTGGGAGTGGGGGCAGGCCAGACTGCTCCCCTCCCCCGGGGATCCCTGGGGCTTCTGGGTTTGTGCTTGGTGGCAGCGTTGGCAGGTGATTGGGGCGGGAGGGGGATCGTGGGGGCAGTGCTTGAAAGTGGGCCTGGGCCGTGGCTTTGGCCAGGAGCCCGGGGTCAGGGGCCAAGTCTAGGCTTGGCAATGGGCTTGGGGTGGTCAGGGCGCAGGCAGCAGCCTCACTCGGTCAGGGGGCCGCAGCGAGTGCCATTGGGCAATGGGCCGCCGGGGGTTGGCCAGCATGTCTGCCCAGTGCCGCAGGCCAGCCCCGCCAGCCGCCGCCCCCACGGCCACCCTCCCAATGGCCTCGTTCTTGCCCAGCTTGTCGTAGTCCAGCACAGTCAGCTCCACCTGCACCTTCTAGGGTGGGGAGAGGGAAGAGGAGACAGAGCGTGGGAAGGAGGCACAGGAGGGGCTCGGCTACCTTGAGTAAGGAGAAAGACCCTCTCACTAGTAACCAGAGTTCTGAGGACCTCGTGAAACCCTTGGCTAAAGCTTCATCTGGAGCTGGCCGGAGCCGGGCCGGTGGGGCGGAGGGTGACAGGTGAGAGGTCGTGAGACCTCGGGTAGAGGGGCGGCTGGAGTCTTTCTTCCTGCACGATCACGTTTCAAAGGAGATGAACCCCTAGGCCCCCGCTGATAAGGGGCTGCTAGGAGCCTCCTCAGGGAGCAGCACCCTAAGGGGGGCACTTCAGGACTCTCAAACAGGTGAAGGGGTCAGGTCTGGGTCTAGCTAGGTATGGTCCCTAAAACCTGGTGGGGAAGTCTCTTTCTTAGTACCCAGAGCTCCTAAGGGGGCTGGCATCCTGGTCTTGCTTGGAGGGGGGTCTGGGGCATCCTGGTCTTACTTGGGGGGGATGGGGCATCTGGTTTTACTTGGTGGGGGATGGCTGAGGCTTCCTGGTCTTACTTGGTCTTACTTGGGGAGGGCTGGGGCATCAGGGTCTCTCTTGGGGGCGGGGCTTCCTGGTCCAGACAGGAGGAAAGCGATTGAGAACACGACGTCAGACTGTCAGGACCTGATTCTAGGACCGGCTAGGGAATCTCCCTTCCCCTAGTGATGGGCATTTCTAAGGACCCGGGCCTTTGGGCAGGGCTGTTCTGGAAGGGCTACAGGTAGGTCTGAACTCACCTGGACCTGATCACAGGGCACCTCGAAGCTGAAGGCCTCGTTGTAATAGGGGTTCAGAGTGTTCTTCTTGATGGTCGTTTTCTTCTTGCGCACCTTCTTGCCGCCCTGCAGCAGGTGTACCTTGACATACGGATCTGGGGAGAGGGAGGCGGAGTCTTACAGCCACCACGGCTGAGTCCAGGAGCACCAGATTGAGAGGAAAACTTGAGACTCTCCTTTGGGCCGACATGGAGACACCCCACGCACCCCACGTGTCTCCTCTCTGTGCCAAATGGAATATGTTTTCCCATGGCAGCCTGGACCTCCCTGTCCCCCAGGGGCCCTGGGACCCAGAAAATACCAGAACCTCAGCCAGAACACGCCCCCCCCCTCCATTTCCCGGGATCCCACACACCTGACAGCCCTCCTACGTCCATCTTCTTCAGGTTTTTGGCCTCCAGGACGATGACGGTGAGCTTCCCGGCAGTGGGGACATAGCGGAGGGAGAAGCAGATGTCTCCTAGTTTCTCCTGCTAAAAAGACAGAGAGGGACCCATCACCGGAGCCCCACTCCGCATCCTTCCCCCTCCGACCTGTCTTCCCTTCCCCTCGCCTTGGACCGGTCTGGCCCAGCTGAGACCTCAATGGTACCACGCGGCGGGGAGGGGGAGGCCCAGGAGTCCGCCTGCCAGGACAGTGTCAGGGGCCCGGCCCGGAGGCCTGTGACCTGATTGGCCCGGGGCTGGGGTGGGCGGGCCCAGCCGCGGGGGCGTGGCCACGAGTGCTCACCTCCTCCCGCGGAGCCGCCTGCAGCTCGCGCCAGGCCAGCACTGGCCGCCCCAAGTCCACGGAGCTCATGGGGATCCGCACCTCCCCGATAGCATCGTTGCGAGAGAAGCGATCGAAGTCGTACACCGCCATGACCAGGACCCTGCCCCCCAGTTCCACGTAGGGGACCTGGGGGATGGTGCGCAGAGAAGAGAGCACGAGGTGGAGTCAGGAAATCAGAGAGATGAAGTGAGACGGAGCACATCCGGGTATAAGACGTCCAGTGGGGCAGCGAGGGTCCATGGGAACCCAGGTGGACAGTCCAAGGCCCAAGGGACTAGCCCAGGGGTCAGGAGTGACCAGAGGGGCCACCCAGGGTCAAGTGGAATAATCCTCAGAGCTGGCAGCTGCAACCTGAGCTGTGGTGCCTCCAGAAAAAGTTGAAGGGTCAATTCCTAGTGTTCCAGGGACTGGAGGCAAGCTGCCCAGCAAGGGGCAGGAGGCCAGAAGCTCACCTTGAAGGCAAAATTCTCTCCAAAGTGTGGGTTCAGCGTCTGGCGATGCACTTTGGTCTCATGCCGCCTGCGTTTGTCTGGCAGCAGGTAGACCTGAACATAGGGGTCAGAAGAGCCACCCAGGTCCAGGGCTGCCAACCCCTCAGCTTGCAGGATGCCCACCAGCAGCTGAAAAGTGGTAAAAGGATCCTACTCTTAGCATCCCTTCTAGAACCTTCTCTAAGAAGGAGCTAAAACCCCTAGGATCCTCCCTCCGGAGCATCACCTCTTTCACACCCACCTGGCCGCTCTGAAAATCATAATCCAGTGAGTACTGCAGTTGTCCTAGCTCATGTTTCTCTGCCAGTGGCTGCCCTGGACCAGACGATGTCGGCTCCAGCTCCTCCACTTCCGGCTGCACCTTAGGGAGCCAGGGACAAGGGCAGGTGAATTCTCCCTTGGCAGTGGTATCTTCCAGGCCCAGAAGCCAAGGGAGGCTCACAGATACCTCTGGTTATATACCTAAGCACTTGAAAGCTAATCAGAGTCAGTATGATTAATGATGTCTGCTACAGGCAAGGAGCAGCCATAGTGACACACAGTGCAGTATGTTTGTCCAAGTTTGATTAGTGATGTCTTCCGTGGATGGGGCTGCAGGTGGTGACACACATGCCCTGTTTGTCATGCTTAGACTAGAAAAACAAGCACTGATACAGTGTCTCATTGCCCAGATGATGGATGTAGGAAACTTCATTTCACATGCTAATGGATGTACAGGGGTTCTCCAAATGCACACGTTGATTAGTGATCTTGCCACCAAAAAACATGGAGGAGAGATGGCATGTTTACTGTGCATTTGCTATTCTAAACTAGAATGTGACTTCCTAACCCAAGGCACCAATTTCAACGGGGATCAGAATTCCCCGGAGTAGTGCCATAAAATGTCTCCACTTCCGAGATTCTGACTCAGTAGGTCTGGTGCAAGGTACAGAATTAGAGTTTCAACAACAGGTGATTCTGATGCAGATGGCCTTTGGGCATCACTGGCTAGGGATGGGGATGCAGGCTGGATACTATACCAGGGCCCTAGAAGGCATCCCTTGTGGGTATAATTATAACAAACAGCTATTTGCTGAGAAGGGAGGAAGGGAAATAATACACGGAGCACAGACTTGAGGCGAAGAGAGGGATCATGGATTTCTCAAGGTCACACAGCTGGGAAACGACTTCTCTGGAGTGGAAAGCCAGGGCTGTGGGTCCCAGGTGAACACTGTTGCACTCTGAATCCTGTGATGCAGTCCCGATATCAGATCCTTGCATGGTAACCTTTAGTTTCCCACTCCAGTGGCCTCTTCCACCTCAAGCTTCTTGCACCTTCTCAGGGCTGGCACACCGGCCTCCTCCCTGGTCTCCTTGCCCCGGATCTGCCCTCCACATGGGTTCCAGAGGATTCATGCTCACACCCATGTGACCCTGCACCCTCTTGCTCAAAACCCTTCTGCGGCTCCCAACCACCCCCATGACATGGGTACTACTCTATCCATGTTGCCTCACTCTGAGACGCAGGATATTTGAACTCTACGCCCCAGCTATTTGTGAAAATGACTCCGTTCCCAAAATACGCCTCAGAATCTGGATTCCAGGCCTCAGCACATGGTCTTCCTTCAACCTAGAATGTGTCTCTCTGCCATCAGTAACTCTGTGTGTCCTTTGGTACTTAGTGCAGAAGTCTCCTCCACCGGGAAGCCTTCTCAGACCCTCTAGGTTGTCAGGTGGTTTCTCCATGCTCTGGTGTAGCATGCAGAGCCCTGAGTTGTGAATGGCTGTGTGTGTGTCTGACCTCCTCATCGGACCGGGTCTTGTGAACAATGACTAGGTCTGGTCCATATCCACATCCCCAGGGTCCAGTGCAGGACGAGGCGCACAGGGCAGATGAGCCAGTAAGGTTAAGAGGGAAGGGGCAGGGCTGAGAGGCCGGGGCATGGAGCAGAGCTGGGGTGCAGGAAGGGCAGGGCTAAGGGGCTGGGTCAGGCCGCACCTTGTCTATGTAACTCCGGCCCAGCTCCTTCACTTCCTGAAGGTGGACCTGGGCTTGGGCCTGGCTCTTCTTGCCCATCCGCCTCCGACAACGCTTCCGGAAGAGACAGAAACAGCAGCTGAAGACAAGGAAGCCTGAGACCAGCACGATCGTGGCCAGAGCCCAGGGCGGCACTGCAGAGGGCATGGAGACAATGCTCACTGAGGCCTAGGGAGCAAGCTGACTGATGCAGTCCAGACTACATGTGAAAGCTGGAATCCTGGCCTTGTTTTCCCTCCAGCCATTCCCAGTCCTTTTATTTCCGTGTTTTCCTTCCAACTGATCTCACCTATAAAGCGGTTTGATGCCCTAATCCCTCCAGATATTCTTGTCTGTTAATTCCACCTCCTCTACCACTCCTATTCTCATTTCTGCTCAACCCGAGGCTTTTAGAAGCCCTGCCCCTCCCCTGGGCCTCAGTTTCCCTATCTTTAAAATAAGGGAGAGGTGGACTTTCCAATTCACCAATCTAAGGTCCCATTCCACTCAACACCCCTTGATCTGGTTCTCGGCTTTCTCGCAAACCTGTTCCTTTTTCATTGCATTTAGACTCAAGTCCAGGATTCCGACTATCATCCCGCCCGGATTTTCCGGACTGCTAGCCGAATACACCCGTCCAAATCCCGCCCCTGGGAATCTTGGCCCTGCTTGCCCTCCGCTCTGGTCGGCCGCAGGTCTCGCTCACCAGGGCGGTGGCTGATGCGACTTGAATCAGGAGGCGTGTCGGGAGCCGGAGGCGCCGCAGTTGGGGCCTCCGGGAACATGGCGGTGGGGTCTTAACGTCCTTTCTGCGGAGACACCCAAGCACCCTAGCCCCCCAGCCCACCCGGACATCCACTCAGGCCTTGGAACAGCCATGAACTCCAACTCCTATCGGCCTCCGGGGCGACCGGTCTCGTTGGAGTCCGCCCGCCGCCGCGAGGCATGCTGGGGGTTGTAGTTTCAGTCTCCCCGCGACGGAGGACCGGAGCTGGGGGTGGGTTCCAAGAGCTAGTTCCACCCCAAAGGGACCCCCCTCCCTCCAGGGCACCACGAGTCCCGCTGACTGCTGCCCTTTCCCTGCCCTTCCCCGGGGTCTGAGCCGGAAGTAGGCAAAGGCGAGCGTGGGAACCTGCGCACCGGGTTGCCGGGAGCAACAGCTAGCTCCGCTTGGGCGGGGTGGGCTCAGTGGTGGTTGCCGCGACAACGGCCTGTTGCCAGGACAACGGGCGGGGCTTACGCACAGACTCCTAGCCAGGGAGGGGCTGGCTGGTCCCGCGAGGTGTCTTTGCAGGGACCCCAGGTACCCCGGGACAAGCGAGCATAGGGAGGGGGCGGCCCTGCTCGTCCACGCGTGAGCCCAGAGCTAGCTCCTCCCTCCACATCTGGCCCTAGGAGGGAGACTCGCCCGCCCCTCCCTCTCCAATTCTTACGGGGAATGTGGGGGGCTGTGAACTGCCTCTGCTGGGCCCTCATTCCCTTCGCGGCCGCCTGTCCCGCGCACCCCGAGCTCTGTCTTCACACCTACCCTCGTGACCTCCTCAGTCGGGATTCCCCATTTCTGTCCGACCTCCTGGGCCCCTGGCCCGAACCCGCACCGTCTGTCTCTCTTGCCCCCTGCCTGTCGCCAGGCCTCGGTCTCCAGGGGTCTCTCACTCTCCCCTGCCCTCCCCGCGCCCCCTCTGGCTCCTGGTCTCCACAGGAGTCTAAATGCCAACATTCCGGCTCAGGCTGCAGCCGTCCCACTTCCGCTGTTGGTCTCTCCCAGTGTCCCCCGCCACGCACACTCTGTCTCACCAGGGAAGGGGACGAGGATGGGCTTAGGGAGAGGGACCCCGCTGCTCCTACCTGCTCGGCGGCTGAACTGCACCCTCCCCGGAGCCACCGAGGCGTCGGCCCCGCCCTGCCCCGCCCCCGCTCCCGCTCACGGGCGGTGGCGCTGTCCTGGGTGCTGATCGTGGAGCCCTGTGGGGCGGGGGCGCGGCAGAGCGGAGCGCGCGTGTATGTGCGCGCGCGTGGGGGGGATGCGTGCGCGCACGCCTGCGTATTCGGTCGTGGGTAAGTGGAACACCCTGTCCCGCCCCTCGTCCAGCCCCCAGTGGAAGCACAAGGTCGTCCACGAAATTTATCCTGGTCCCCTATGATTGTCTGCCTTCTAGTCCAGTTATCTGGCATCCAGCACCCCTCTCCCCACCATATGCTGCCCAACGAACTGGGCGCCAGGATACCATGTCTTACACACTAGGAGACCCTCTCAGGAGTCCCAAGTGTTCAGCTCTCTAGGGAAACTCAGCTTGAAAATCTCCAGCAAATCAGCTCCAGACACCACCCCACCTTCTAAGTTTCTCCATCGCCGCACCCGGGAGGCAAGCGCTCTTGCTGCTAGCTACAGGGACCTGCACCCACACTGCCCACACCCTGGAAACAGAAGTTTGGACCTCCAGTCTTCCCTGAGAGACTCAACCATCCAAACCTACTTTTTTCAGGTGTAAGATTGTGGGTCCCTCTACTTTCCCCCCTCAGACTTTGCCTCAATACTTAAACATTAGGAGCCCACCCCAATATTATTTCCATGCCCAGAAATCCACTGGAACAAATGTCCCTAGGGAGAATAGTGATTTAATAAATTATGTGATAGAAGAAAAAATATGCAGATAGTGGGGTACAGGGAAATCTCAGATTCTAGAAGATTGATTTGGTTTCTGGAGTAAAAGATGGGAAGGATTCTGCCTGTCCCTGCTCCTGGCACAGCCAAAATTCCAGACCCTAATTCATTCCTACCTCAGAATCAAGCTTGATTTCTTGAGACCCTGCAGTCAAGGACCCCGGCCTCCTCCTCCCTCAAAGAACTGGACAGTCTACCTCCCATCCCTCCCTCCTTCAAGGAACCAGGAATCCAGGATCCCACCTGCCCGCTCTCACCCAAGGAAACAGCTTAGGTGGCAGGGCCCCTTCTCTGCAGGACCCAGGAGCCCAGGAGACCAGCCCTCTGCTCTCCCAGGGGTCCAGGAGTCTGGGCTGAAGTAGGGATCCAGAGTCCGAGCCTCTCTGGGCTGGGGTCTCGGCCTTCTGCAGTCTCAGCCTTCTGCTAGTGGGCTTAGCTGGCGGCCACATTCTCGTAGATCAGGTTCTCATCTGCGGCCACCTCCTTGGCCGGGGCTGGGGCCGGCTGCTGGAGAAACCGCAGAATGCAGTGGTGCAGGAACACGTACTGGGCCTGGGGGGTGGGGAGAAGCAAGGGAAGGTCAGGGGTGCCCTCCTTAGCCTGGGCCTGTTCCAGGGCCCCCCACCTGCAGCCCTCCAGGAAGCCTATCACCTCGGTCTGCACCATCAGTGGCCGGCTCCCCCTCATCTTCCTCACGTAGCCATAGGGCCCCACGACACCTTCACGCTCCAGCTGCCGCAGCAGAACATCCAGGGCGATGAGGGTGCCCGTGCGGCCCACGCCTGCACTAGACAGGGACAAGGAGGAGTCAGACCACGGGAGGGGGATGCCGGCTGATTGGACGGATCTGATTCGATCTGATTCAGAGCCCCCAGAGACCCCTCTCTCCAGTTCGCAAACCCTTCACCTCCCCAGAAGGAGACCCTGCACCCTGTCAGCCACCAGTCCCTCGCCGCGCCCCCTCTCCCCAGCCCCAGCCGCCCCAACCTGCCTCTGGCTCTCCCCGACCTGCTCTGTTTCGTGTCGATGGAGTCACACAATGCGTGTCCTTTAAAGTGCCTGGTTCACTCAGCATGTTTTAGAGTTCCTTCCACATTGTCCCAGGAAGCAGTGCTTCATTTTTTTTTTATAGTCAGGCTAATTGTCCTCATCACTAGGCAAGCTCCCTGCTGCACTGTACGGGTAGGGGGGCCCTCTGCTGGGGTCCCCTTCAGAGGGTACTTTCCGGGTACAGGCAGGTGTTAGGACACAGTCCAGCAGGTAAGTTCACATGCCACAGTGGGCATCAGCTCGGCCGCTTATGCTGGCCTTGAACCCAGTGACCTAAGCTTTCTGACTCGGTTTCCTCAGCCTGCAATGGGGAAGTCGCATTGAGGATCAGCGAGGCTGTGGCTGTGCAGTTTCCATCCCAAAACCCGCCTGTGGTCTAGGGTCCAGACTCGCTAACTCTCGGTGAAGACCCTCCCTACCCCATCACATGCACACTTAATGAAATCTCAGCATAAATATCAGGAAAGCAACGGATTGGTGGGCAAGGCCCAGCACTCGAGCCAAGGAGGAGTCTCACCTGTTTCTCAGCACCTCCGCAGCTTCCCTCCCGCTCTGCCCCTCCCTCCCTGCCTCTTCACACACCCTCCCTTCCTTCACTTTTCCCTCCTCCTCTCCCACCCTTTCTCCCCCTCCCTGCTGCCAGCCTGCACCCCCCGCCCCTCACCTCCTGCCGCCATCTCCCTCTCCTCTAGAGACCCTGAGAACCCGATGACCCTGTTTCCTGAGACCCAAGGGGCAGCCCTCCCAGAGACAGGGTTGTGGGGCCAGTCCTCACCTGCAGTGCACAATGGGGCGGCCTCCCCCAGGGGTCTTGTCCAACCAGTGCCGGACCACCTTCCAGAAGGCCAGCAAGGGGTCTGGGGAGTGGGGCACGCCGTGGTCCGGCCAGGTTGTGTAGTGGAATTGGCGCACAGATAGACCCCCCTGCTCTTGCAGCTGCAGGGGGTGGGGTGGGGGAAGAAGAGCTTGGGACCCCAGCAGGAGGCGGCTGGTTCCTGACTGGTGGGGGCATCCCTGGGGCACACTGTGTCCCTTGGGGAAGGGACGGGGGTCAAGCTTCATGAGGACGGAGCTGCCTGGAGTGCCACGGTGAGAAACTGAGGGTCAGGAGGGGGCTGGCAGAGTCGGGGGCTTACATGCCAGAGCTTCAGGTCTCGTACTGTCCAGTTCTCCATCACCTCCTCACCCATCAGCGCCACTTGAAGGTGCCCGTGGGTGCAGGGCTGGGCATCTAGAGGCCAGTAATGCTCACACTTCACCTGGGGAGGACCGCGGGATCAGAGGGCCCCGAGAACCTAGTGGATGCCCCCTGCACCATGGCTCTTGTATTCAGTGCCAGGAACCCCCTCCCCGAGGGACGAGGCAGGGCCTGTGGGGAGCCAGGTGCAGATTCACCCCAGCCAGAAGGACCCCTCCTTATCAACGTCGCTGGGATCAGATTTGCCCCATCCGTGGGCCAGGTGGTAGACCGGGAGTCTGGGAGGAGGTTGGGGTCGTATTGGAGGGAATCAGTGATGTCTGTGTAAGGGTCCACATGGGGATCAGTGTCGGGGGTGGGGTGTCGCGAGCTGGACCTCAGGGCCCAGCACCCTGGACCCCAGCAGGACTCTCACCCGGCCAGACTCCACACAGTTTGTCAGCATGATCAGGGCGCTACTCCGCTGCTCCCACACCAGGCGCCAGAAGTCGCCGACTGTCTGGGCCAGGGGCCCCTGGGCTGCAATGAACTCCTGGGTGCTCCAGAGGCTCTGATCTCGGAAAACACGCAAGTTACAACCCGGACCAGCCCTTCTCTTCCCAGCCTCGGCCTGCCGCCTTCCACTGCCCAACCACAAGCTTACAGGCACGAAACTGGCGTTGATGTAGTCAGAGCCTGGCTCCCCATAGAGGGGCTTCAGGGGCACGCGGGACCAGTCATCTCAGGGAAAAGGCAGCATTAGCGACGCAGAGAGCGGAGTGAGCACCCCAGAGAGGCCCAGGGACAGGAGCTGTGCTGAGCTCCAGGAGGGGAGGTGGGGGTGGGAGGTGCCCTCCCCAGGGGGCACCCCAGGCGCCCCACCGGAGTGGGGCATTGACAGAGCCGCCCCTGGGGACGAGTCAGCAGGGGTTTAGACTCACAGGGCAGCACATTCCTGTAACGGTTCTTGCTGCTGTTCTCGGGAGCTAAGGCCACCGTCTGAGCCTGGTGGAGGCCCTCCGTAGCCAGTTGCTGGCGGGAGGAAGCACAGGAGGGGCCCGGGCACTGGCATTTCTCCTCCCTCCCTCAAGGAGGCCCCTGTTGCCCGCTCAGCCTTCTTTAGCACCATCCTCTTTACCCCCACGCCCTGGAATCCTGTGGCCCCCCACAAAAGCAGAAGGTATGTACCACCATCCCCTCTGGACATTTGGGAAAGAGGAGATATCAGGGGGAAAACCAGGCTGTTTCTTTAGGACTGGCCCACCAACCCGTCCAAGCGTAAGATCTCAATGAGGCGCAAGGTGCTCACGCCTGAGAATTTCTGCAACAGTGAGCAAAGTGGGTGTGGCTGCTTCTGTTCACTCCCAAAGGGTGTGGGAGGGTCCGGCACAGGCCGAGGTGCTCAGCCTGGCCCCCCGTACTCACCCACCTGGTACTCTTCTGCAAAACCACAGTTGCTGTCCTTCTCATTGTCCCTGACGTGGTTGGCAAAGTGCTCGGCCAGGATGTCCTTGTGCGAGCTGTCGGGGGCAGGGGGAAAAGGACATAACATCAGTCCTGTGACCTTGGGATACAAGAAAAGGTGTCTGTGTTGAGAATTAGGCTTGGGGTAGATTAATGATTGTGCATTGAGTCCCCTATACAGAATTTTATTGTTGTTAACAACCATTTGATCAATAAATACGACAGATGCCCTCTCAAAAAAAAAGAAAAAGTGTCTGTCTGTTGTCTGTTTGCATCCCCGGAACTTACTTATCTTACAGCTGGAAGTGTGTCCCTGTGACCCCCTTCTCCCCCTTCACCGGCCCCAGCCGTCTGTTGTCTGAGCTAGGTTTCTGCTCTTGGTTCCTGGATCCCACGTGTAAGTGACATCACATGGCGTTTGTCCTTCTCTGTCGGACTTATTTCACTGAGCATAATGCCCTCCAGGTCCATGTGGTCGCAAAAGGCAGATTTCCTTCCTTTTTAAGGCTGAATAATATTCCATTGTGTATGTGCCCCATTTTCTTTATCTGTCCACCCGCTGGTGGACACTTAGGTGGTTTCCACATCTTGGCCATTGTGAGCAATGCCACAGTGAACACAGGGGTGTGCATTCCTCCTCAGCGTAGTGATTTCATTCCCTTCAGGTAAATACCCTGACATGGGAGTGCATCAATCCCACTCCTGGGTATGTACCCAGAGAATTGAAAGCAGGGTCCCAAGGGGTGATTTGCACACTTGGGTTTGTAACAGCATTATTCACAACAGCCAAAAAGTGGAAGCAACCCACAGGTCCACGGATGGTTCCCACAAAAACCACGTCTGCCCACCTCCCTCCGCCTCCCCGCCCCAGTGCTGCCCCCGACAGGTGTGCACGGGGTGCTCTGTACTCCCTGAGTGAGTCAGCCTTCTTTTCCATGGTGGGCATCTCCTGATCTGTTGGCCGTATCATACCTGAACGACAGTCAAACCTAATCCAGCTCCCCATCCTCATTCCACCTTCTCATATGACTCACTATTCTCCGCTTCCTTTCCCCACTTCGCCAAGGCCTGGTGTCCACCCCACTACTCTGGGGGACATCTTTCTCCGAAGTCCCCTTAACTCGATTTGCCTCCTTATCTCCAGTCCCCAAGGCCACCCCTCTGTCCCTGCTTGGCGTGACTGCTCAGCCGAATCGAGCTCCACTCATTTCCTGGACCCGTCCTCTCGGCTGTGGGCCGGCACCACCGTGCTGGCTTCTGCTCCGCATCTCCCTGGCGAGCCCCTCTTCCCCTGTCCACCCTACAAGGTGGGTGTTCCTGAGAGCCTGTCCTCAGGTTTCTCAGTGGACACATACTTATGGGGTTTGTCCCCTCCCACAGCTGCAGGTTCTATCTGGGCATCTCTGTTCCTGAACCCCCACTGCCAGCTCCTACTCCCTGCTCTCCTGAGCCTCTGGTCTATTGCCCACCAGCCTCTGGGAACCTCCACCTGGAAGTCGTGGCGGGTTGTCACGAGGACATCCACACGTACCGAGGCTGTGGGTGGCAGAAGGCTCTACATAAGACAGGGCCAGGCTTGGAATCCAGTGACTTTGGTGGTGTGTTGTAGACATGGGGTAGTGTGGGGAGAGGCCAGTTCTACAAGGGGTGGGATGCTGGCCAGGACAGTGTCCATAGCAAAGAAGAAACTGGGACATCACCTGCCTGCACACCTGTTTGTTTCTCCTCATGCATCTGCTTCTGGTGGCCTCTGCCTCAGTTTACACCTCCTTTTGTGCCCAGGACATCACAGCCGGTCTCCCAGCTGCCCTCCTCTCCCTGTCCCACCTCGTCTCTGTCAGTCCCTGGGGATCCTTCTAACACAGACATTTGGTGATTACTAACCCAGTTTAAAGGGGACCCGGAGGAATGAAGATGTCTGCACATGTCTCTCGAACCACTGGGCTGTCCCTCCACCTGCCCGTTCGGAAACATCTCCACTGGGCTGTTCCATGAGCATCTCAAACACAGCACGCCCACGGCTGAGTTCCTGGCGCTTTCCCCTGGACCTGCCCCCACAGGCATCCCCTCTCAAGCCGCGGGGGGCCCAGGCTCCCCGGCACTCGTGCTCCTGGGGGTCCTCTTGGGGACCCTCCGGCCCTCAGTGCATGTCCATACTTCCACCAGATCTGTTGGCCGTGTCTTGTCCAAAGCGTCATCGCTGACTCTCCCGCCTGCCCCCTCTTGCGTTTGCCTCTTGAATAGGCTGGATTGTGTCGCTGGTCTATTGGGAACTTCCCGAAACAGAAAGCCCTGACTTCCCCTACCAGGCCCTACCTGATGAGCTCCCGCCTCACACCCCCCGACGGCATTCCCTGCTACCATCCCCTCCGTCCCCTCTGCTCTGCCTCAGCGATGCCCGATGTGCTGTGCACATTCCAGGTGTGCCGCTGCTCAGGGCCCTTGCACGTGCGGGTCCCCCTGCCTGGAGTGCCTCTACCCCAGATGTGCCCATGGCCTCTCCCCTCACCTGCTGCAGCCTTTGCTCAAATGACTTCCTCTTAGTCATCTTCCGAGTAAAGTTTTCTCTGGACGCCCTGTCTATTTCCCCAAATCTTAACAACACATCTTTAATAACCTTCTACTCTTTCTATCCTGCTTTATTGGTGCACCCAGCCCAAGTAAGTATCACATTCTTTATTATCTTGTGCATGAATGTCTTCAGGTGCTAGAACGTAAGCTCCGTGAGGGTGGGAATCTTTAATTCACTGCCTCCTCAGCACCTCTAACAGTTCCTGACGAGTAAGAGGTGCTCGGTGAATCCTGGGTCAGATGTATGAAGCCCCAGACTGAAGCGGGGACCAGCCCCAGCCGCTTTGGGGGCCCCCATCTCAGAGGGCACTGTGTGGGTGGGGTCCTGCCCTCTGGCCCACCCAGCGGCCGGCCAGCAGCCGTGGGTCAGACCTGACAGCGATTGTGCAGGGTGCTCCCCAACCTGCTCACCTGAACAGCAGGCCTGTGGGTGGGGCTTCCTTCCTGCTTCTCCGCAGCCTGGGAACAGGACATGGGAGGAGGGGCTGGGGGTCAGGCTGCAACCAGGAGTCCTCATCCGCCTCTGCCTCGCCTCCAGGCGGTCCACCAGCATGTGTGGGGTCTCACCTCTTCCTCAGGAAGAGGATCAGCAGGCCCAGCAGGACAAGGAGCAGGAAGGCGCCGACGACAGCCCCGGCAACCACGCCTGCGGGGGAGGTGTGGGAGCCACCGGAGCCCGGGCCTCACCTCCCGGTGGCCGCCGCCCCCCTCACCCAGACAGCAGCAGAGGCCCAGAAGGGCAAACGCCAGGTCCCAGAGGGAAAGGACAGGCACTGGGGGGAGCCTGCCTCCCCGCCCCCGCCCCCGCCTCGACCCACGCTAACAGCTCCCCAGGAGACACTGGACAGTGTCTGGAGTCACACTGGGGTGGGGGTGCCATGGCACCTGGTCAGGGAGGCCAGGGATGCTGTCCAACTTAAATGGGTGGTTGGCCGTTACATGAATTATATCTCAATGAAACTGCTTTAACGGATGCAGGGGATACAACGCCAACAAACAAGCGGGACCCCTTGGGGAGGGGAGACCCCCCACCTCACAGCAGCCTGATGGGTCTAGACAGACCATCACAGCTCCCTGTCCCCGGGGGCTCTTCTCACCTGCACTCTCCGTGTGGCAGGTCACAGCAGCAGATGGGGCCCTCATTCCATCCCAGACGGTGGTGACAGTGGCTGGGTAGGACCGAGCCGGCTGGAGACCCCACACGGACACGTCCCTCCCACAGGACGACCTGTCCAGGGAGCCCCACTGCGCGCCCACCTGGAACTCAAAGGCCTCACGGCCCCCCCGGGGGCAGGACCAGTTCAGGACGAGCCCGTAGCCCCCGGAGGTGCTGAAGCAGGAGGTGATGGTGACGGGGTCCGGGTCTGGGCAGAGGGGACAGGAGTCAGGAGGGGCCATACAGGGTGGCTTCCCACCACTCCCTGCCCCCCACCAGGCCTGCTAACCCCCCGGCACCCAGCCCGCTCTTTCCCTCCCCAAACCGAAATGCCTCTGCCTCCATCTTTCCCTGCCCTCACCAGCAGAGCAGGTCTCCTCAAACCACAGCTCTCACGAGCCCTCGGACTCAGTGGCGGCAGCTGAAGCCATGACAGGGACCCACGGCCTGGTGGGCTTGCCACTCGCCTCCCTCTACCCCAGGTCTGATCTATGCCCCCACCAGGCAAGGGGGGCCCGTCTCACCTGTGGAAGCATGAAGGCCCTGTGGGGAGCTGGCTACATGGTTCCTCTCAGCCCACACACTGAAGTTGTACAGGGTCCCAGGTTCCAGGGCCTCCACCTCGTACCACGTCTCATTTGTCCTGCTGGTCCAGTTGGCCTGATGCCCTTGGGTGACTCGCTCCCCCTGGGGGTGTCCCCCACCAGCCCACTGGACCCAGTAGGTGTAGAGCAGATAGTGGGGGTCCTCGGGGGCCTTCCAGTGCAGCATGACAGAGCTGGTGCTCCGAGTTCCGTTCTGCAGGTGTGTGACCTTGTTGGGAGCTGAGAAACGAGGACAAGGGCTCTGGTTGGCATATTCCCGGGGACCCTTCTGCTGAGCCCCCTCACCTCCCCCTTGCAGCTGGGTTGAGATGCCCTGTCATTGGACGGGCCACTTCCCAAGGAGTGTGAGCCACAGAGAGAGGCCTGGAGGGCACTGGGATCACAGCGGCGCCCTCTGTCCAGAGGCGGCAGCCCTGGGCCCCCCACTCATGTGTGGTCTGTGTGGCATCTTCCATGAGAAGCCCAGAGACGGTCCTTTGTCCCTTCTGGACGTGTCAGCTTTCTAGATGGAGCCGACTCGGTCTTCTTAGCCCAAATGGCCAGGGACTAAGGGGTTCCAGGTTCTGTCCGTCAGCAGGTAACCTGGCCCCTGGGCTGATCCCAGCCCCTCTCGTGCACCGGACCCTCCATGTGCAGGCTGAGAGGTGGGCCTCTTTCAGTTGAGACCTTCTGTCTAGCCAGTGACTTGATGGGCTCCTGAGATGTGGTGCTGGGCCCTCTTTGTCCCCAGAGACAGACCCCATTATTGGAAAACCCAGGTTGCTGAGGACAGACTCCCCTTAGAATGCAGACTGACAAGTTCAAGGTCCACTCAGACTGGATAGAGAGCCCATTGGACGGAAACTCCCAGACCCCCGCTCTCCCCTCCCAGTGGGACCTGCTGTGGAACAGGACCGCGTCTGACCTGTGGCCTCCGTGAGCGTGCTGTTGTCGCTTCGGACCCCATTCCTCTCTGCCCAGACAGTGAAGGTGTACAGGCTCCCAGCTTCCAGCCCCTCCAGGGTGACCCCAGCGTCTGGGCTGCTGTGGGTCCTGGCAGCAAGGCTTCCTTCCTTGACCCATGAGACCCCGTAGGTGTAGGGAGGATGCTGGGGGCCCGGGGGCGCTGTCCAGCTCAAGGTAATAGAGCTGTTGGTCTGTTCCTGGAGACTGAGGCTTGTCACTGCGTTGGGGACTAGCAGAGGGGACAGAGAGATGGGCTTTCCACATCACTGGTCCAGCCTACTCAGAGGCACTCCTAGCGATGGCACCCAGAGAGACCGGGGCTCCTGCAGCCCTACACTCGGTGGCCAATTTCTGGAAGGTCCCTGGGTATAGAAATATCTGTCCTGTGGACTCGGTGGGGTGGGTCTGGCTCAGTGAGGCCACAGATGTGATGGCAGGAGCCTGGGGCCAGAGGAGCTGCCATTCTTCCTGGCTCTGGACCCCTCACCTGAACAGAGCAGACCTCGTGCCTTCCCACGGGCACACTAGCTGAGTTCTGCGCAGAGCCAGTTACCTCGCTCTTTTCTGCCCTCACAGAATCTGTACAAGGTCAAGTCCCTCCACTGTGAAAGGAGAGTTGGGTGAGCCTTTGGTTTCAATTTTGCATCCGTCTGCAGGCCAGTGGACATCAGCGCACTCCCCAAGGTCAGCGTCCCAGGACACTTCCCAGCTCAGGCTGAAGGGCCTGCTGCTCTGATTTTTCAAAGACAGGTTTCTTATTGGGTTGGATAAAGAGATAGAAAGACAAAGAGAAGAATAGACAAAGAGGAAAAATGAAGGAGGGATGGAGGAAAGTCAGTAGGAGGGAAGAAGGAAGACAGAAAGGAAGAAGGAAAGAGGGAAGGAAGGGAAGCAGGGGGGTGGGGAACGGGGGGGGCCTCTCACCTGTGGGGGCGCTGAGTATCTCCGGGGAGCTGGGGACTCCGTCCCGCTGCGCCCACACGGAAAGCTCATACATGGACCCGGGGTTGAGCCGCCCCACTCGCACACTGGTGTTTGCTGTGCTCTGGGTCTGGGTGTCATTTCCGTCCCCACTGCACTGGACCCAGTAGGTGTAGCCCTGGGGGTCAGGGCCGGCGGGCTCCTCCCACCGCAGACTGATGGAGCTGGTGGTCTGAGCCTCCACGCTCAGGTTCCTGACGGGGTTGGGTGCTGAGAAAGTAGGGGACAGGTGTCAGCAGGGGAGCACATCGGGGGACAGCCACTGAGCATCACAGGCCCCCACGTTCCCCATCCCCCTCAGCTACCAGTCCCAGGACACGTCGACAGGGTCTAGACCAGTGCCTCTCAAAATGCGGTGTGCACACGGGACACCGGCGTCCTGTTCAAATGCAGGTCCTGACGCAGCAGGTGTGGGTGAGAAGGAGACCCTGCCATTACCCATCAGCCCTTGGGAGATGCTGCCGTCCCCTCCCGCGGACCACACTGAGGGGCCACAGCGGAGACCAGCCCTTCCCAGCAGCGTCTCTGTGACGATGAAAATGCTCTGCCAGTGGCCAACATGGCAGCACTAGCCCAGTGGGACACTGCGGGGGTGCTGGGAGCCCCTGAACAGCGCTCTGTGCCCACAAAATGTGGAGGTGAGTTTGCCATTTTAGTCGACTTGACTTGAAGTAGCCACACGTGACTAGCGGCTACCATGCTGGGCAGTGGAGCCTAGAGCGGGGCTGTCCACGTCAGGGTGCTGGGCTGATGGTCTGAGCTCCCATCCTCAGTACTGACACAACTGGGGAGTAGGAGAGCCGGGGGGTCAGAGTGAGCACATCTCATGGTTCCTGATCCCCCCAGGGCTGAGGCAGACTCTTTGCCCCCCGACCAGCCATGGCCGCCGAGGACAGACACCTCCTGGTATTGGGTCTGTGTCCCAGGGAGTCCAGGACTCCGATCACAGCTCAGAACTCCGAGGATGTTCCTCGCTCATCTCCTGCTGCCCGTGACTCACGGACACAGTGCGCCGGACGGTCTGCCAACATTGCTCTGTTGGTCGTCCTCCACCACCTATCACCCCTCGGAAAAGAAAATAAAAGAAAAAGAAAGAGCCAGAGATAGAAAGAAGGACTGAAAGAGAGAGAGAGAATGAAAGAGAGAGGAAAACACAGAAAGGAAAGAGGGAAGGAAGGGAAGAAGGGAGGGCGGAGAGGGATGGCAGCGGCCTCTCACCTGTGGGGGCGCTGAGCATCTCCGGGGAGCTGGGGACTCCATCCCGCTGCGCCCACACGGAAAGCTCATACACGGACCCGGGGCTGAGCCCCCCCACTCGCACACTGGTGTTTGCTGTGCTCTGGGTCTGAGTGTCGTTTCCGTCCCCACTGCACTGGACCCAGTAGGTGTAGCCCTGGGGGTCAGGGCCGGCGGGCTCCTCCCACCGCAGACTGATGGAGCTGGTGGTCTGATCCTCCACGCTCAGGTTCCTGACGGGGTTGGGGGCTGAGAAAGTAGGGGACAGGTGTCAGCAGGGGAGCACATCGGGGGACAGCCACTGAGCATCACAGGCCCCCACGTTCCCCATCCCCCTCAGCTACCAGTCCCAGGACACGTCGACAGGGTCTAGACCAGTGCCTCTCAAAGTGCGGTGTGCACACGGGACACCAGCGTCCTGTTAAATGCAGGTGCTGACGCAGCAGGTGTAGGTGAGAAGGAGACCCTGCCTTTACCCATCAGCCCTTGGGAGATGCTGCCGTCCCCTCTCGCGGACCACACTGGGGGCCACGGCGGAGACCAGCCCTTCCCAGCAGTGTCTCTGTGACGACGAAAACGCTCTCCCAGTGGCCAACGTGGCAGCACTAACCCAGTGGGACACTGCAGGGGTACTGGGAGCCCCTGAACAGTGCTCAGAGCCCACGAAATATGGAGGTGAGTTTGCCATTTTAGTTGACTTGACTTGAAGTAGCCACACGTGACTAGCGGCTACCATGCTGGGCAGTGGAGCCTAGAGGGGGGCTGTCCACGTCAGGGTGCTGGGCTGATGGTCTGAGCTCCCATCCTCAGTACTGACACAACTGGGGAGTAGGAGAGCCGGGGGTCAGAGTGAACACATCTCATGGTTCCTGATCCCCCCAGGGCTGAGGCAGCCTCTTTGCCCCCCGACCAGCCATGGTCGCCGAGGACAGACACCTCCTGCTATTGGGGTCTTAAGGTGGCATGTGAGGCCAGGTAGAACCCTACAATCCCTGCTGTCTAGAGGGGCCAGGGTGCACACACTGGTCCGGCTGGGGGGCTTTGGACTTCACAGGCCCACGGGCTGGGGTGAAGCCAGAGCGACCCCTGCAGCTAAGAGGCTGGGCATGGAGGCGTGGCGGACAGTCACGGCCCTTACAGATGGGCCCGAGGCCTCACACCTGCCTCACACCTTCTCCATGTGAATCTGGGACAACAGTGGCACCACAGTGATCATGGCTGTCAGTGAGTTCTTACATGTACCCGGAACTGAAAAGCAAACAAGGGCTCTAGGAGGTCCTAGGCTGGTCTCAACTCATAAGCCCATGGATGTCCCTGCCCCTCCTGCTGCACGTGACTCAAGGAGACAGAGGGCGGGGAAATCTGGCAGGTTCCTCTGGCTCTCTGCCAGCCTGAATCAACTCTTGAAAAAGAGAGAGACAGAGAGGGAGGGATGGCAGCGGCCTCTCACCTGTGGGGGCGCTGAGCGTCTCCGGTGAGCTGGGGACTCCATCCCGCTGCGCCCACACGGAAAGCTCATACACGGACCCGGGGCTGAGCCCCCCCACTCGCGCACTGGTGTTTGCTGTGCTCTGGGTCTGGGTGTCATTTCCATCCCCACTGCACTGGACCCAGTAGGTGTAGCCCTGGGGGTCAGGGCCGGCGGGCTCCTCCCACCGCAGGCTGATGGAGCTGGTGGTCTGAGCCTCCACGCTCAGGTTCCTGACGGGGTTGGGGGCTGAGAATGGCAAGGAGGGCCTGGAGTGAGCAGGCGGTGGATCCGTGCTGTCCCTACCCCCATCTCTTACCCTGAGTCCAGAAAGGACCAGTCCCCTAAATGCTGGCCACAGAGACCCCCCAAAAGGTGGTTGAAATACGACCCCTGTGTGGGCTGTGAGCTCAGCAGGGGTCACTCACCAGCTGTGTGGGCCCCTGTCCAGCTGCACAGGCTCTGCGGAGAGGCCGGGGGGTCAGACTCTGAGCTTCACCCGCCATGACCCAGGGCTGCTGGTGGGGCCAGAAGGGCTGGACAGGCCCCCCAGGGCCTCCACTCCCACTGTGAGTCACTGGGACCCGGGTCAAGGGCCCTGGGGCACTGTTTTCCCCCAGGCTAGGCTCTGACAAAGGTCGCCCCCACATCCATCTGTCTTTTCTGGGTGCGTGTTTTGTTGGGGGAGTGTGGCAGGGGCAGGGCTCCAGGCACCCAGGAGCTGGGGCCGGCTCCACAGATAAGCCTGGGAGATAAACGTTACGGTTTCACTTCCTGAAAAATATGGCGTTGGAAGGCTGGGGACAGGGCAGTAGCCAGCAGAGTGGGAACAGGGAGAAACTGAGGCTCGGCGAGGAGCCAGACGCTAAGGGTGGGGGCATGGGGCGGGCCTCCTGGTCTGCCGGGGGAGGGCTGGAGGCCTGGAGTGCTGGGTCTCTGTAGGCACACCCGAGTCTCCCCAGAAATGGAGTCACTCTCACAGCAGGTGCTGGTCCTTCAGGACCCAAGTCAGGGTCCCTGGTCCGCCTCCCCACGTCCCCTCCCCAGGCCTGGGACCACTCACCAGCAGCACCAGGCTCCCCCAGGCCCTGAAGCCCCCTCCAGTCCCGGTCATGTCTGCAGACACGGCCAAAGGCCCAGGTGTCCCAGCCCCAGACCTTCCACCTGCTGGACTTTAAACGCAAGAATTTTCCCTCTCCCAGGCCAATGGGGTGAGGCTCCAGGCTGGGCAGGGAGGGAGGAGGAGGAAGTGGGGGCTGCCTGCGCCAGAGCTCTGCCGCACCCTCCGCTGGGGCCACCCTCCTGACACTCCTGCCCCAGCCTCAGCCGGGGTCTCCCTTCCAGCCCCCACCTCGCCTCTCATCATTCCCCAAAAATGCCAGGGTGCCCGCCACAGGCCCCAGGTGGTCAGAGCAGGAGGGAGCTCTGGGGGTCACTGTGCCATCTCGCAAAGGGACCCCTGCACACCTAGGGCAGGTGGGGTCTCCCGGCCCTTCTGCCTCAGGACCCAGGCTGGCCCTTCAACCACTCCCTGCCCCCCACGAGCCCTCGCATCTCTGAATAAAGGAGCCCAGCTCAGCCCTGCCTCCTGGCCTTTGCATGTGCAGTCTCCCCAGCCAGGTGCACCTTCCCTCCGACCCCAGCGACCTCATCTCCACCCCTCCATTAGCATTCAGTCCAGAGAGGCACCACACCGGGGCAGACGTCACCTCAGCCCTTGGGGACTGCTCTGTCTCTGTTGGCATGTTCACCTTGTCACTGTCTGCCTGTGACCTGGGACAACTGGCTTCAATTCTCCGTAACTCAGATTTCTCATCTATAAAAAAAAAAAAAGGATGCAACCCCTCATAACTATGCTGCAAGGAATAAATGACTTCATGCTTAAAGCCCTAGAACTAGGTCTAGCCCTTTTACAACGCTTGATAAATCCCGAGCCATGTTTATTCTTGGTTTCTCCAGGGTCCAGAGGGCCTCTCAGGGTATTTTCGCTGATGTCCTGACGATCTGCACGCACGGCTGCGTTCATTCCACATGTAGTAGGAAGGTAAAGAGTGAGGGTGCTGGTCATACGCCTGCATTTGTGTTCTTAGCATTATTCACCTGTGTGATCTT